ATATTTAATTACAATCGCAATTAAATTGAAAGTAAAATCAAGACCAGCTTGATTCTTTTGTGCGAATTTGTTTACATTGAAATTTAAATGTTATCAAATTATAATTTTGACATTTCAATTCATTGCATCAATAAGCATCTAGATTTCTAATTTTAAATTTTTCATTTTATTTCGTTCAAGTGCATCTAAAATTTTTATTTCAACTATTCAACATTACGAAATATTCCAAATGTGGATATTCGTTATAAGATAATATTCTACATATATTTTATTGAAAATTCAGAATTATTTTTGTAAATCGTATATTTCTGTACACGATCGAATAAAATACTTGTGCGTGTACTTTTTTTATTTTATTTTCGACAGGAACGCAATTATATTAATTTGTTGTTAATTTGTGAGATTCAGGCACATTGACCCTTAAATATACATAAGGAGGGAGAAAACTGGAAGATATTAAGAAAATAAGTAAAAGTAATAAATATAAGAGGACAAAAGAAGGAGAGGTCGAGCAGAGTTTAGTTTTTAAAATATTTTTATGAAAATATAAATATTAATTCATTAATTAATTATTAATTATGCGTAAATTAGCGTTGAGTTTTGTTTAAGCACATATTTTATATATATATTATTTATAATTTATAAATATATAAATATTATTATATTTCTATATATAAATCTAATTTTAAATTCAAATAATTAATTTAAAATTAAAAAATTAACTAATAAATATCAATATAAATTGTAATAGATAAAATATATTATAAACAAATTACAAGTTAAATCAAATTATTATAATACAAATTTATTTTACATTAATGCATTTTGCATAATTAACATTATAATGCTATAAATGAAAAAAATTTAAGAAATAATCAAAACTCAACGCTGTCTTTAAATATCTTATATTAACATATTCAAATATATTAATAATATTCATATATCGAAAATAACAAACAAACAATATGCCGATCCTCTTAGCCTTCCAGTTTGTCTATTTTTGTTCGTACATGCAAAATTGTACGAAATATGATTCTTTCATTGATCATATTGCTATTCTATTATTAATAATTTTTTTTCTCTTTCTCTAATTTAGCTTGGTAGCTTCGTGAGGTAGTACAACTCTTTTAGTAAGACTTGGCATAGTGACATAATTTTGAGAATTATTCTCTATGCTGTGATTCTGTGACAATTCTAAACATTCAGAATTTGATGACATCAAGCATTCGTGAATGAAGCTACAAACTGTATTACGTAAGCGTCACGATAGGTAGCATAATGTTTGACATGTGGAGAATTTGTGAAAAGTACCAGTTGTACTCGTACACCACGTTCTGCTCGTCGACTGGCAAATTTTTCAACGTCCTTGAAATATGAGTAACGATAATGTACAAATTTAGGTGAAAAAAAAATATTTATTGTATTTTAACTGTAATGTTTTGTTGAAAATACGTACTGATGCTGGAATTAAATTATCTGCATTTGAATAGAGAAATAATTGAGGCCAAGAATAAGATTCTTCTGCAAGACCAATTGGATTTGTTTGTATTGGATAACCACGTCCAAGAGCATGAGCGATTACCTAAACAATTGATTAAATCATTTCTAATTTTGAATTTATATAATTATTTCATTATCATCTAATAATTGAAAATGTTGATAATTAGAAAAAAATATTTATAACTTTAATTTTTTTAATTAATTTTTTTATTAATTTTTTTATTAATAAGAAAATAAAATGAAGTAATTTACTTTTCTTATTCATTATAATTTCTAATCTCAATGATTATTTACTAGCAATTTTAACATTAAATTTTCTAAAAAAAAGAAAAAGAAGAAAAAATAAAAAAAATTGATAAAAAGAATTTAGTATTATTGTAAATACCTCTAAAAACCAAAGTATAGACAAGAAAATTGTAATAAAGAAGGACATCGGTATATTTGTAATAGGATGTCCTCCTATGATAGCACTAATCGCTTTGAAAAGAGCGGTCAATCTTCTTTCTCCTGGAGCGCTATCAAATATCACTCCTTTGACCTATAATTTTAATATAATTACGAAAAATAATAAAATCAAAAAAAGATTAAAAGATAAAAGGTAAAAGGTAAAAGTATTTTTTACCTTGAGCGGTGTGTTAGCTTGTTGCATAGCAAGGCTTACATGTTGGTATAAAAACGCGCCGCCGTTACTGAAGACATGGAAGAATATCGGATGTTGATCCAAACTCTTGTCGGTTATCACTTGAATTAATCGTTTGCCGATATAAGGCATTTTGTCTCTTCGCCAAAATAGGCATTCTACCGGTGCCGTGTATCGTAGCGTGATGCAACTTGAAAAATGAATATTATCCTTTCATATATGCTAAATAAACAAAATTTCATGATTTTTATAAGAAAGTTCAATTATTTATCTAAACAATAATTTCTTGAAATAATTTAAATAAATAAATAATTTCATTTACTAGTTCAATTTTGAATTACTATCGATTAGATAAATAGTATATTTGCTGGTAATTTTTTATCATGTCTTATCAACTATTTTATCAAACTTATGAAATTTGAATCTGTGTATAAATTTTATAAAAAAATATCCTACATACAAATAGATATTTATCTTTCTATCCCATTTTTTCAAATTTTATTCACTAAATTATTATTGACATGCATTGTGTCAAATAATATTTCATTATGAACTTTCAATATATAATTAATTATTTATAACTTTACATTTTCAAGTTTCAATTATTCAACTTGACAACAATTTTCGAACAATAAAAAATAAAGAAAAAAGAATAATGCGATTCGAAAATAAGAAATAATTTAAAGGGATAATTTAGGAAATATTGGTACCTTTTCTCTTCATAAATTGCGCTGTATTTGGCCAGATATTTGTCTTGACAGCCAGCCCATCCTAGCAATACTATCACTGGCCGCTTGTCTTCTTTATAGACGAATACGAATTCTTCGCGTTGATCCTGATTACCAGTTGTTAATGTTGGATCCTTCGGGGATGGTGGAAACGATGGGAACATGATGTAGTAGTCGAGATCTTCTTGATCGCTCATCTTTCCTACTTCTCGTCGTCCTCGTGAGGACGTGAGAGAAAGTGGGGAGAGAAAGAACACAGAAGGCAAGAGGAGGGAAACTGTGAGTGAACTGTAAGGGTGAAAGGGAAGGAGGAGGAAGTTAACAACAGCAACGAAAGGGAGGACAAATCACCCCTCTACCACGGACGGATTCTCGTTCTGAGTTGGGCTTGCGTCGTCGTCAGCGTCGAGAGTACCGAGCTGCCAGAAGATCGATACCAAAGACTCGTATCAAAGTTAGGTGTCACGAATGAGGATGTCAACGTTTAACGTTATTCATAAATTCTCTCCGCATAGAGAGAGAATATTTTCTTTTTTTCCTGAAGATTACCACAAGATTATTCGTCAGGCAAATTTTTATTCGATAACAAATTTCATATCGATATAATCAATTTTATATCGATATATCCTATCCACGATAGTTAATAATAGACTATCGAAATTATTGCCGAAGTTCATAGCATTGCATGTTGCGGCGCGTTGTGATTTTTATATAATTTAATTAACTTTTGTTTGCAATAATATTATTGTAGATAAAAACAAATTTATATTATCTGAACATTCACAATTCAATAATATAATTTTATAACTATATCGATGACAGTAAAAATAATAAATTGTAATATGGTACAATTATATTATAAATAATATTAAATAGTTTAAAAATTTTATATGATAGTTTAATGATATTATGTTATTACAATGTTTTTATGAGTTGCGCAAAAAATAAGGCATTATTAATTTATTTTTTTTAATTTGATTTATTTTTACTATAAAATTATATAATACAAATAAGATATAAATGTAATTAATATTCAATATAAATATTTAATAATTGTTAAAATTAAATAATCATTTTAAAAATATTATAAAAATACATCATTATTGTTAAATTTAAAAAATAGTTTTTGGAGCATTTTTAAATAAAAGTACAGTATAAATACGAAATCGAAATTGAATCGTATTTGAGCTTGATTCAATATCAATTCCTTAATGGTTTTTTTTTAAATCCATGATCATTGTTTGATTTTTTCTGTTTTTTTCTTCTTTTTTTTTTCAATTTTTCACTTCTTTCTTGCGTACTTTTAATATACAAAAGATTACATTTTATTTATAATTACTTAATATATATATAAAATAAAATAAAATAAAATAAAATAAAATAAAATAAAATAAAATAAAATAAAATGAAATAAAAGAATATTAAATAATAAAAGTAAAATTTCAGAGTTAAGAAAAATTTAAATATTATATTGTTTACTTACTCGTTGAATAAGAATATCTGGAATTCTGTTTTTTTAATATAAGGATAATAATTCAGTTTAAGAAATTATATAATTTCTTAATATTCTTCATAGATTTTATTAAGACACACTTATTAATCAGAGATAAATAAATAAAATTAATCAATAAAATCTAAATTTCTTAATTTCCAAGTAATAATTAAATTTATTTCCTAAATTGCAAAATAAAAAAATTTATTTTTTAATAAATTTTTATAAAATATAATAGAATTTTTCAGAGATTGTTAGTACTTATAGATATTTATTGTTATATAAATGTATAGTTTTCAAATGCTTTTATTAGATAAAAAAAGAACAAAATATGATACAGAATTAATCTAACATTCAATACATTTTTTTATTCTATATTTTGAAAACAAAAAAATAAGTTTGAATTATTGATCAATGAATAAAGCTTCTATTATAAATATCAGAATTCTTTTCTTGTATTTTTCTTCTCATGGAGAAGAATTAATCAAATTAAAATAATTCTTATGAATGAATTTGTTGAAAAAGTTTTAAACTTTATCGTTTTTGATGATTTTATTTTTAAATATTTTTAAATATGCTGTAAAAATCAAATTTTGTCCAACTTTTTTCTTTAAATATAATAGATAGATAATATATTAAATTTTGTTATATGAAATATATATATATATATAAAAATAGACATATAAGATATACATACTTACAATATAAAAATTAGATTGAATAGACTCTGTGAAGATTTTTAATCAATGGACATAAGCAAAGAAAAATATAAATTAAAGTTAATCAAATAAGAATTGTCTTTTGAACACAAATTTTACAGAGTATAAACAAGGAAAGTAATTAATATAGATAAAGATAGAGATAGAATAAAAATTAGGGAATCAGCGCCATCTGCAGAGTGCCGCAAATGAAACATAAAAAAAAGGACAGCAAATAGTGAGAGAAAGATAGAGATACGATAAGAATTGACCGACCACGCCATCTCTTATTAAAAATATTTCTTTGTAAATATTTAAAAAATGGCGTTGATATTCAATTCTTACTTTATTCCGTCTTTGGAAAAAATTTTTTCATTCAATAGATGGTGCTAGAAGCTTAATTCTTGTTTTATCTCTATTCTTTTCCTATTATTTTCTTTTCTTATTGATATGTTTTATTTGTGAAATTCTAAAGATGGCGTTACTAACTTTCTCTAACTATTTGTTCTTATTTATATTTGATACAGCAAAAGTCATTAATGATTAAATAAATAAAATTTAATAATTTAATATCGATAAATGAATAAATAAATAGAAAAATGAATAAATGAAAAATAAATAAATAAATATGTAGTACACTATATATAATAAATAATGATACATAAAGATACGAGGTTATATATAAAATCATTTCATTTCATTAAGAATTTTAAAATCAAAATTAGTAGCTCGTTACATACGAAATATTTATACTAATCGATCTTTTTGATTTCGGATTTTCAGATTTAACCCCTTCCGTGTACCAGGATCCTATTCATGCGATAAACATGATGATCTTAATTATAAGTTAATAAAAATTTTTTATGGATGATTTCTAAATTATTATAATAATTATTCTTTATATAAAATGGTAAGAATGTTTCAACACATTTATAAATAAAAAATTAATATCATAAAACAGTAAATTTAATTTTAGTTCGTAAAAATATAAATTAATTATTACATTTAATATTGTAATAAATTATTAGATGTATAAATTAACAATAAAAAATGTAAAAATTGAAAAATTATTGATTATTATATTCGAAAAATGGATTTAGAATAATCGGCAAAAGACGTATATTTCCGTAAATCTTCGCGTCCTATAAATATGAGACAGGTCGCAACGGAACGATCATTTCTTATCGAACTTTGTCGACGCGCTGATATAATTTTAACTTCAAATTTTTTTATATAATAAATAATTTTCAATCTTATAAAATTTATACTAAATTAATATATTATATTATATATTATATTATTATGATATATTCTTATATATTCTTTATTAATTTTTCTTTTTAATTAATTTTAATTGTTTCATTTATTTAATCACTTACATACTCTTTTATTTATTATTAAAACATTTATTTCTTTATTTATTTTTTAATTTATATTTTCTACTTATTTATTTATTTTTACATTTATTTCTTGATTTACTATCAGAAATTAATAATTGCTTTATAATTATTTTCTACATAAAATAGTACTAAGAATATTTCAATACAATTATAAATAAAAATTAATATCATAAAAGAGTAAATTGAACTTTACTTTTTTCGTAAAAATATAAATTAATTATTACATTTAATATTGTAATAAATTATTAGATGTATAAATTAACAATAAAAAATGTAAAAATTGAAAAATTATTGATTATTATATTCGAAAAATGGATTTAGAACAATCGGCAAAAGACGTATATTTCCGTAAATCTTCGCGTCCTATAAATAAGAGACAGGTCGCGACGGAACGATCATTTCTTATCGAACTTTGTCGACGCGCTGATATAATTTTAACTTCAAATTTTTTTTATATAATAAATAATTTTCAATCTTATAAAATTTATTCTAAATTAATATATTATATTATATATTATATTATTGTGATATATTTTTATATATTCTTTATTAATTTTTCTTTTTAATTAATTTTAATTGTTTCATTTATTTAATCACTTACATACTCTTTTATTATTAAAACATTTATTTCTTTATTTATTTTTTAATTTATATTTTCTACTTATTTATTTATTTTTACATTTATTTTTTGATTTATTTTTTAATTTATATTTTCATTTATTTATTTATTCATTAATTCATTTTTTTTATTTATTTCTATATTTATTTTTTAATTTTTTAATTTATATTTTCACTTATTTAATTTTTCAATTATTTTTTTATTTATTTATTTCTACATTTATTTCTTCATTTATTTTAGTTGTTCATCTAAATCAATAAGTATATATATATAAACAGATATTCCCAAACAATAAAATATATTTCTAAATCAAAGAATATTTGTCTGAACGAATAAATTAATAAATAAAATGAAAGAATAAACAAATAAATGAATTGATGCATATATACATGAATTAAAAAAGTCATAAGAAATTGTACAAATAACTCACTAGATATATGAATAAGTAAGTGAATTAGTAAATAAATGAAGTAGAAAATAAATAAATTAATAAATAATTGTATATATAAATGAATAAAATAATAAAATCTATAAAAAAGTCAAGAAATAACTCATTAGACAAATCAAAGAATAAACATCATTTATATTCTATAAATCATATCAAATAAATTCTAAAAATGTAAATATATAAATAATTTGTATGTATATATAAATGAACAAAATAAAAAGTTTACAAATATATCAGTAGATGAATGAATGAATGAAAGAACGAATAAATCTATAAAATTAAATATAAATTAAATAAATAAAGAAAAAAATAAAAAAATAATATACGTATCAAAGAAGCTTACAGGAAATTCCATAATAAAATAATTTGATGTATACATGAGTAAAAAAGTGAATGAACAAGTGAACAAAACAAATTAGTTACTAAACAAATGAATGAATAAATATATGAATAATTAAATAATTAAAAAAAAAATATATAAATACTTTAAAATATGTATAAATAAATAAAATAAAAAGTGTAAAAATAGGATAAAATATATAAATAACTAAAATAATAAATATATACATGATTCTTTTGTATTCATCAAGTCATTTATATATATTTACTATTTTAGTTATTTAATTATTTATATATTTATTCATTCATTTGTTTAGCTTATTTCTATATATTGTTTTGTTTACTTACATATTCATCAAATTATTTATGTATTTATTCCTTTTATTTATTCCTATTAAGTTATATAATTATTTATAAATTAAATCATTTTTTTATTGATTTATTTATATATATTATTTATAATTTATTTGAAAACTTTTTGGTCATTTATGTACATATTACATAAATTTATTTATTCATTCTTTTAATTACCTAATTGCTTATATGTCTAT